CGGGAAAGGGAACATGGTTTGTTCAATCCATTGTCGATACATTTTATCGTGAAGCACACAAATATGACGTTTTACAAATGTTGGTGAATGTAAGTACTGAAATAACATGAACTACATTATTTTACATTGAAAGTGTGTTAAATTCATTAGAACACCAATCAAATATAAAACATAGCTACCAGAAGAAGTGACATGTCGTAAGAGGTGACTTATGTAAATACAGTCCAACATGCACAGACTTTTTAAGAACCAGCAAAATGCTCTTCTGTATATTTTGACTGTTTAATCAGAACTGTTCACTTCATGTTATATTTTATTTCACCAGGTCAATCACGCGATCTCTCAAAAGCAAACAACAATGGGCAATAAACAGGCACCAGAGATAGTTACCAGCTTACGAAAGAAAGTTTTCTTCAACATAACTCCAGGTAAGCAAAAAGAATCACATCTTCCCGAGGTGTATTCGGCCGAATAATAAAGACCCGAGATCAAAAGTAAGCAAAAACAACAAACCTGGAACGTGTTAAGGTACAAACAATGCTGCCAGTCCTGCTGAAGATCTCATCCTTTTATCAAATGTCTCAAATCTCCCACCCAGTTGCAGACCCCACCTACAAAATTGTTTCCCAACTTCAATAAATCATTCCCAACTAAAGCTGGAACTTCAAGGTTATGATCTTCATAAGGTTATTTTTCTCATCAATGTTATTTCTATGTGTTTCCACCTAAATTGCACCACAACTCCTAGCATTCACGCACCTCACAGTCATTTATCAGTACTTACTCCTCCTGAAGTGATTTGATCAGGTTATCCTTTGGGCGGATTGCTGGCACAATTTAATCTCCTTCTTACAGATTTCAAATATTCAGTGTTACATGTTGTCCCTACATCTGATCTTCACAAAACTCGTGTAATTTACGATCTTTTTTTTTTATCCCAACCTGGTCTCGGTTGATTCTAACATTCCAAGAGAGTTCTCTGTGGCACAGTGCAACTTCATTGATGCTGTTATCGCACATGTCCAACATTTTGTTCGTGGTGCTCTTTTAGGTATATCTTATATTCAAGATGTTTTCCACATTTTACCAATTATCAACTGCGTCCATCCCTTAAAGGCCCAGTGGGTCACCTGTGACCTACACATTTGACACGTCCCCACCCACACCACACAAAATGAATCCACTTCATTTTGCCATTTTCTATTCCTTATGTACTAGTTTATCCTTGTTGACCAATTAGAAACTAGATCATTATCCTTCACCTCACTCAAATATGTCTGCCTCCATAAGAAGGAGTTAATGCTATTGTCTAGTGGGTTTTTATGTGTCTGTATTGTCATCTCAAGGTAAATAATAATTTCAATATTCTGCCTTTTCATTATAAATACAATAGTCTTAAACCACACAGAAATGTTTTATACAGTTGTTAGCTACGCTTCCAGGTTTAAATTAATTTTTTTATGTTGTTATTGTAATAAAAAGAGGTTTGTGATATCTTGAAACTTAGTCATTTGTTTACCTCTAAAGCCCAGTGGGTCACCAGTTGAACATAACCAAAAACTAGGTCAATGTTGCCCAAAACATTTTTTTCAACATTTATTGATAAATATGCTTATTACAACCCTATTACCTAGGCATTAAACTTTTCATGCAAGAAAAACATGTCCTGGAGTGATCTGTTTTATTATGAGAAATGTTTGCCAAGTTTTTTGTGCCAGATTTTTTAATCTATGAGTAAAGCTATGCAATGGATAATGTTGGAGAGATTTCATGATTTGGCCATGTCCCACATACTAGATGATATCTGTTTCATTGGACCTCAAATTTCCAAGAAGTGTCAGGTTGATTTTTCTTGTGTTATGCACATGGGTAAACGTTTCCATTAACGCAGTAAAAACCTTTACTCTGACCACTTGTTTAACGTAAACAACCTTTACTCTGACCACTTTTCTTTATTTTATCTCATCGAAATAGATTCAATACAAATGAAACCTTGGATAGGCTTTTAGGGTTTAATCTGAAATAAAATTTCAGGCATCGGTCAAACGTGTCTAATTTGGTTCAGTTTTGTTGTGGGATATGGTTGATTGGGCGAGTAATGACCCACCCACTTATTGTCCATGTGGTTCAAGTATGGTGATTTTGATGACAAGGTAACTACTTACTCCCTTGTTTCATTAAGTTATCTGCTATTCCAGGTTCTCTGTTCGAACCAGTAATCTCATTGTGCAACCTTAAATTACTCCTAATGTGCCCCCTTGTCATGCGATTCCCAGATCATAACTTACTTTGATGTGTTTAGGATCTTATTATTTTTTTACTATTAAAAATGACAATTTTCAGTCATATGCACTTTACCCCATTTGCCTTTGAGCAAAAACAGAGCTGCGTTGTGCTAATGATCATTTGGCTACATAAAACAGCAATTTAGATAATTGTGTTTATGTAGGGAATGTCTACATCAGTGAGATTTAAGTCATCCAGCTTTTTAGCTGCTTGATATTTACCCGCATTGTTACATAGTGCAGTTTAAGCAGCTACACTGGAAGATTACTTGCTTTGTTATTTCATTTTTATTTGGACACATTCCACCTTCCCCCATCACCCGCCTTAGTACTTGTGTTTTTCTCTATTTTTTTCTTTTTTTTTTACTAACCAGAGTCTCTATTTCTGCGCCAATAACTATTGTGGTTTCATATATATTTTATTCTGAATTTATCTTGGTTGCACCCATTAAACTATATTATTATTATTTATATTATGACATTTATATACNCTGCGCAGAAAGCTCATTTTCCGCACTCGGAACTACTCGGATGTCTCTGCAGTTGACAATGACAGTATGGAGCTTGCGGAATAAGCCGAGGATTGCCGATTGCATTTTCCGGTAAATTCAATAAAGACGTTTGCGACAACCGACTTCACATTAAGCACAACATACCATACAATCTAGCTCGAAGACTATGCACAATTGTCTCAAATGAAACCACATTAAAACAAAGGCTCAAAGAGCTGGAAGGATTCCTATTAAGGAGACAATACCCAAGACAACTGATACAAACTGGGATTAAAAAAGCAAAACAGATACCGAAGAATGACCTGAGGACCACCAAAGACAAAATTAAAATTAAAAAGGAAGCCATACCGTACATATCAACATATAATCCAAATGTCTCCTCTCATGATGACACCAATCCTGCACCCGATCACTGCAGAAGAAGAAGCCTATTCTGAGAGCCAAAGGAAAACCAGGAGTGTTGTTGAACAGGCACTTGGTGTAACTAAAGGCAGATTCAGGTATGTTTACCTTTTATGGTATATAAATCTAATCCCTATTGTGATAACACCCATTAACTAAGTTTGTGTATTTACTTTCATCAATCAGTTCCCAACCTACATTCAATAGGGTGACTCCCCTTTTCACCCACACCCACACATAATTATAAAACCTGGCAAATAATTTTGTTTCAAAAGTCTTGATTATAAATCATTATAACGTTAACTAGTCAAAAAAAAAGTCTTATAAATTTGTGATTTATTGTTTCCTGTAAGAAATATAATCAAATGTTCTGATACAATAATATCTTCTTTATTTTAGGTGTATGTACAAGAATGGTGACCATCTCTGGTACACCCCAGAGATGTGTGGGAGAATCATCATGGTCTGTTGTATCCTGCACAATTTTTGTCAGGAAAACAACGACCCGCACCATGAGGATGAAGATCCTGACATTGATGCAAGTGTTCATGACAATGTGTTCGTTGGTCCTGTACTTCCCTCTGGTCTCAGGACCAGGGAAGAAATAATCAGGAACTTCTTTACACATTAGTCATGTACACCTGCCTCGATGTCAGGATCTTCAACTCAGCAGCCACATGAATCTGCCTTATGGTACACCAAGAGCCTTTTCAACAACACTTCTGTATTTTGACTCTCAGAAAATGCCTCTTCCTCTCAATGATCGGCCCCAGGATTAATGACATCATGATTGGAGACAGTGCAAATACTGCCTCTGAGTGGGTAGCCACTTGGCATTTCCTACCTTGTACATCTCTTGTGTGGTACAGATATTGAAAATGAAGCTGTCGTGGGTTGTTAGCCAGCCCACCTTGGAACTACATTTGTACACTGAAAACTTTCCGCAAACAAACATATTCACATCAAAGGAATCAGGATGGAATTTTTATTGGAGCTAGAATAGCACTGATGACCTTCTGGAAGCCAAATATATGTTTAACTCTCCTAACATCTCCCTCTTTACTTGGGAACTTGATATGCAGTGCATGGACACAGCATGGATACCGACAATGATGCCAGATCAAGGTTGTCTCTCTGCCACCACTTTGATCTGACCCAGTAGAGACTACATGTAAAGCAGCAATAATTGGTGTAGCAAGCACTTGTGACAGTGTTTAAGACCTCGTGGTCAGTCTTCTTTAAGGTTCTTCATTGATCCCTTGAGTCAGTTTGAGCACATTCTCTGAAGTCATGCAGGATCTCTTATGAAATAGATGAGGTTGGAACTCTAGCATAGGATCTCTGAGTCTCACACACACACTTCCATATTCTCCTGGTATTTTTCTCTAACTCTCAGTTGGATCATTTATGAATCATTGTGGGATGAATACGGATTATTGTTTCATTAAACAAAATAATGAAAACTGATGTTCTCTTTAAAATGTCATATTTTATTATATTTTGCATATAATACTAAGAACTGAAATTTAAAATAAGTGTACAAAATGACAAAGGTGTACAGATTTGATTTAATATAACAGCTAGTGTTCATGCAGGAAATTTAATAACAAATTCCAGGAATCAAAAAGACTGATATTTTAAGTCAATTACTTTTGAAGTACACTTTCAATGCAAATAGGGCAAAATAAAATCACTTTAAAGTTTATGTAAGAAACAAAACAGACGGTCAAGTTGTTTTACATAATTTTTTTATTTTATGAAACAATAACATTATGAAAATATAAAATATAAAAATAATATTATAAACAATTTCCTAAATGTATATTCTTGTCTAAATTAAAGTTAATAAGTACAATATAAAAATAAAGTCCTTTTCAAGGACAAAAGCAAATGAAAACTATCCCTTATAAAAGATTTGTAACAAATTCCAGTTCTTTGCCGAGGTCATAAACTTAGTTTAAAATACAGCACTGAATGATCAAACTGATTCACATATTGAAAATTACTGAATGAAAAATACTGAAAAAATTATCAAAAAGAAATTGCATAAATTAAAGGAAAAAAATAATACAGTCAAGTTGGCATGTATATCCTTATAATCATTCTTGTACGTAAAAAAATAAGTAACAAAGTTTTATTTTTCATTATATTTGTGGTGGCAGGGTCCACAATAGGGATTTTGCCAATTTTGATGCAATATAACATAATACTCAACAGCATATTCACTACAAAATTAAAATAATATAA